TTCCTGCTAGTTCAATTCAAACAGTTGCACCTTTTGATCTTATTCATTGTGACATTTGGGGACCTCACAAAACACATACACACTCTGGGGCACATTATTTCTTGACTATTTTTGATGATTTTACTCGTTTTACTTGGGTTCATCTTATGACTTTTAAATCCGATACACAACACATCTTGCAATCCTTTTTCTCATGGGTTAAAACACAATTTAATCGCACCATTAAAACTTTTCGTTCCGATAATGGTAGCGAATTCTTATCCATGCGCTCCTTCTTCACCAATCTTGGCACCAATTTTCAACATTCTTGCACATATACCCCTCAACAAAATGGGGTAGTTGAATGCAAACATCGTCATCTTTTGAATATTGGTTGGGCACTACGTTTTCAAGCCAATCTACCTTTACAATTTTGGGGGAAAAGCCTTCAAACGACATGTTATCTTATAAATTGCCTTCCCACTCCATCACTGTCTCATAAAACACCTTATGAAATTTTACATGGGCATTCGCCTACTTATACTCACCTAAGAGTTTTTGGGTGTCTTTGTTATGCCACTAATCTTAACCCCAATCACAAATTTGACACTCGTGCTCATCGTTGTCTTTTTCTTGGGTATACTCTCAACCAAAAGGGTTATCGCGTCTATGATCTTGACACAAAGAAATTTTTTGTTTCTTGGGATGTCATTTTTCACGAACACACCTTTCCTTTTTCTAATCTTCCAGCAGAAAATCAAACTGACTCACCTAATCTCCCTATTCCCCAAGCTGACCTGCCTTCCCCATCCCATATATCTCCAGGCCCGACCCACATCCCCTCACTCTTCGCTTCCACAGACCCGGCCCACACCACCTTACCCTTTCTCTCTTCAAACCCGCTCCCAGACCCTCATTCCCCTGCTATCTCACCCACGACTCATCCATCTCTTGCTAGAGTCTCTGTTTCCCCAGCCCCCTCTTCACCTCCCGATGGCTTGCCATCTGATCTCCTTTTCCCTCCCCCGGTCCCTCTCACTCTCCTTGATAGCGGCCCAATCCTTCGCAGATCCGAGCGTATCAAACGACCTCTATCTCATTTTCAGGAGTATCAAGCTCATCACACCGTCTTGCTCGCACTCGACGTCATCTCTTCATCCACGTCTGGCACCAGGTACCCTCTTCATAAGCACATCTCTTACTCTGGCTTATCTTCCAATTATCAAAATTTTGTGTGCAATGTCTCTTGCTTGGTCGAGCCCACTAATTATGAACATGCATGTCGTGATCCCAAATGGGTTGCTGCTATGCAATCTGAACTACAAGCTCTTGATGCCAATCACACCTGGTCTTTGGTCCCCCTTCCTCCTGGCCATCTCCCAATTGGCTGCAAATGGATATTTCGGCTTAAATATCACTCTGATGGCATCGTTGATCGTTACAAGGCCCGCCTCGTTGCCAAAGGCTTCAACCAATGACAGGACCCGCCCTGAATTTTTCACAAAACCCGAGACGAATCCTGCGGAGACCCCAACATCACACCCATGCTGGTTTCACTCCTTAAAAAGGTAACCTCCTTCTTCAAGAGGAGTAAGGGCACGAGACTTTCTACCGAAAATTCGGCAGAATCTCCCCTGTAATTTGAACATTTTCCAAAATTTCCACCTGCATAAAATGCATTTAATAACCACAACAGGCAGCACGCACAATGTAATAACATGCAATTCATAATAATGGCCTCCGGCCCTCTAATAATTCAAAGCAAACTACCAACCACGCGATAAATAAAAAAAATAACTTCCCCCAAGCATCCAACACGCAAGGTTTCAACCTCCTATCACAAATAGCTCGGGGCCTCAGCCTAAACATACAACACCCCAAACGGGTCTTGCCCCTAATTCAACCACAACACTCTAATACCACCCTCCCGTAGTCAAATGGGAGTATGAACCATTATCTAATCACATCTCGGTTTCATCCGAATTTCAGGACCAAAGACAAGGTCCGAACCAACCTACTAACACAACGTAAGTGAGATTTAACTCGCGGCAGCACCCAGGCATCACCCTAGGCTGCCTACGTACCCTCAACCAGGGATCAAGCCACACGTAGTTCTTCCATATCGACAGTCACATTTCCGATAATATACAATTAATTAAAGCAGAACCAATAAATACATTTCAAATTTATCACCAATCAATTTCCCACTAAACACAATGAACACATTCTCAAACTCTTCCTTTATATCAAATCAACCTGCAACCATACCCTATCCAAGGCGTATGTTGCCGAACAACACCTCCCAAACCGGGGCGTAAACATTTATACATGTACAAGGTCTTCTCAAAGGACAATCTCACGAATCTCAATCCCGAATCAAAAACCACATATACATATATATGTATATATATAATAACACCCACCTCTCATCATCATCATGTACCAAAGGAAACAATCCAACAGGGGATCGTTTGACTAGTCCACATGTCAGAGCAATCCCTCAATTCACCATGCGTCTAGGGAACGAGCCGTCCAACTGGGGGACTAACTCTCAGCCCAGCACGTACGGACGAAGAATTAAGACCCGTACGCCTGTAAACAGTCCTACGCGCGCCGACTACCCAATCAAGGGTCTACGGTAACACCCCGTTAAGGTATGCCCGGGTATCAACACATCCACAGATCCATATCCATTTCCATGTATCAGTATCCAAAGGGAGGTACATGTGATGCTGCACATCATGTACTGGGGGAAACAATCCAACAGGGGATTGTTGACTAGCTCACAATTATCCGGCCCTCAAACGGCCATGTGGCTAGGGAACGAGCCGTCCAACTGGGGGACTAACTCTCAGCCAGCACGTACAGCCGATAAAATCAAAGCTTGTACGTCTGAAAACCAATCCTACACGCGCAGACTACCACTCCTCAGGGTCCACGGCAACATCTCGTCAAGGATGCCCCATATTTCAATATATCCAAACCATATCATAATATTCCCGGCATCCCGCAATTCCAGGATCCGTAACCAAGAAAGCCCACACGCCCGAAACACGGCACGTGTGTGAATAGTAACCAGGGAAGGTACGTATGATGGTGGAGTTTGTAACCCTTATCACAACATTATAAAATGATATTTTCTTCCTTAATTCAATTGTTCCAAACCTCTATACCTTTCGGATCTATCACAATTCTAAATTCGATAATAACACATTGAAACATTATCACTTCCTTCTCAAGGCATCGTATCAAGAAGACATCCGAAGGGCCTGACAAACTCCGACGGGCCTGGGCAAAAATAAATCAATCTCCGACGAGCCTGGGCAAAAATAAATCTTAAACATAAAACCCATAACCGGGGAGGTATTTAAGGTAGTGCGTTTAGCACTTCAAATTGACAATCTATACTCTTTTCATACCTTTATAAATACATACAAATGTATATTAATTTCTAATATTGTAAGCACCTCAACGACAATTCACAGGGTGGCACTTATAGTGCCCTCAAGCATCTTTATAAAATAATAATATATATTTAAATATAATCCACTATTGCATCAACCTCAACCCCAAGATATAACATCCGATAAACCCCCAATTTATCACCATAAATTGATATCCTAATCCCACATAATCAATATCACTCAACAACTCTCAAGGCCTGTCACTAGGGTCATTATAATCTTCCTAGGAAGGTAACACTACCTAGGAAGTCTCACGATCAACCCAGGGTCAAACTACCCAGCCTCGGTCAAACGGGCCCCTGGGTCCACGACCTTCAAATTCCGATCCGACAGTTCCCATAGGTCCTACAAGGTCTAAGACACACGTCCTGCAAGTTTGATCCGGATCGGACGGTCAAATCGCTCACGATCGGACGGTTACTAAAACCCTAACCCTAGGGTTGGCTTATCCGGAGTATCCGGGACTCCGTTTTACGATCTGTCGAATCCTATATGATCTTAGTAATTCCTAGATCAACATATTATAACCTCAGGACCATCCAACGGTCCAAACCTAGCGAACCCAAAAAATACAGGATATGCGATATCCGTTCGGAACCCTAACGGTATCCAAATTGAAATCCGAGCACACCTACGTGCTCGTGACATCGAGAGGATCACATTGGGACAAAAATGCGCCTCAGCTACAGTGCCCATGCGCCGCCACACGCGTCGGCAGCGCGTGGGTGTCCAAAGCGATATCGCATCACCGAAAAATCTTAGAATCTCGTGCCAAGACTCCTACCCTAGGTAATAAACCTAATTTGGAGTCACTTTTGTTCTTGGACATACCCCAAATTATCGACGGAAGTGGCCGGAAATTCAATTTGAAAACCGGCCGAAACCTCATTCGTTCGTTTTGGTGGAGAAATGAGAGAAAACGAAGACTTGGAAAATCTTTCAAAATTTGTCCGAAAACAGCTCGGATTTCTTCAATTTCCGGCCAGTACCGGCTGTTCCAGCGGCTGAAATTGGTCGGGATGGGAAAAAGGAGGCAGCCCGGTTCTTTTGGGTCTGATCTCGAGGCCAGCCGTGGCCTGTAACCGCAGTGGTGGCTCCTTAGAGCCACCGGCTGTGTAGAAAAAAAATGGGAGGGGGCGGGCTGCTCACGACCAGCCAAGAGAGAGAGAGGGTTTTCAGATTTTATTAAAAACCCATTTCAAAATATTTACAATTATGCCACTGAGGGTATTTTGATCGTATCTCTCTCGTTACAACTCCGATTCGAGCCCACTACGTGTCTACGGACTCATCTCGCCGTGCTATACACAACGGTACAATTGAAATTCCCAATTTCCTTCCCGGTCAAAAGTCAATCTTAAATCTAATAACATATTATAAGGGCAAAATGGTCCTTTTATCTGAATAAATTAATATTCACCAATTTATTTAGAACCGGGTCCTTACAACCAACGCGAGGGTATTGATTTCCACAACACTTTTGCCCCTGTTGTGAAATTAATCATTGTTCGTTGCTTGCTGTCCATTGCTGCTGTTCGTCACAGGCATCTGCATCAAATGGATGTCCAGAACGCTTTTCGTCATGGCGATCTTCAAGAGGAGGTTTACATGTTACCCCCGCTAGTTCTAGTCGACAGGGAGAGCATGTTGTGTGTCGACTTCACAAGTCCTGGTACGGACTCAAACAGGCTCCACGAAGCTAGTTTCGAAAGTTTTCATCTGCTATTTGTGGCATTAGTGTTAAGCAATCGCGTGCTGATTACTCTCTGTTCACACAGGATCATGGAAGCTCTCTAATCATTATATTGCTTTATGTAGATGACATGATATTGACAGGAAATGATGAAGAGGCCATCTATAAACTGAAGCACTTCCTTGGCAGTCAATTTCGAATCAAAGATCTCGGACCCTGGAGATACTTTCTTGGTGTTGAGGTGGCACGATCAAAATCTGGAATTTCTATTTGCCAACGAAAGTACACCCTTGACATTTTGGCAGAAGTTGGATTACTTGGAGCCAAACCAGCCAAAGTTCCTATGGACCATGATCTCGTGTTGTTATCTACAGAGGAGTTACTCAAAGATCCTACTCGATATCGTCTGTTAGTTGGAAAGCTAATTTATCTCACAATTACAAGACCAGAAATCACTTATGTAGTCAACACCCTCAGTTAGTTCATGCAAGAACCTAGACGCCAACATCTTGATGCAGCATACCGTCTTCTCCACTACCTAAAGGAAGCTCCAGGTCAAGGGTTACTTTTTCCTTCACAAAATCAGTTAAAGCTGATTGGTTACTGTGATGCAGATTGGGCCAGATGCCTAATCACAAGCAGATTAGTCATAGATTATTGCATATTTCTTGGTAATGCGCTTGTGTCCTGGAAAAGCAAGAAACAAGTTACAGTTGCACGATCATCAGCGAAAGCGGAATATAGTTCAATGGCTCCAACCACATGTGAACTAACTTGGCTAAGATATCTGTTGCAAGATCTGCGTCTGAATCATTCTGAACCTGCAAAGTTATTTTGCGATAATCAAGCCGCCTTGTATATTGCAACAAATCCAGTGTATCATGAACGAACTAAACATATTGAGCTCGATTGTCATACTGTTCATGAAAGAATAGAGAAAGGAGAGATCAAGACAGGATACGTGCAAACAGGGGAATAGATAGTAGATATATTTACCAAGCCACTAAAGGCACCCGTCTTCAGTTTGCTTCTTGGCAAGTTGAACGTTAGAGATATCCACTCTCCAACTTGAGGGGGAGTGTTAAGGAAAGAAATATGCCAATGATTCTATATTGAGTGAGAAATATGTCAATGATTCTATATTGAGAGATTGTAGGAATAGATTGTAATTAGCTTAGAATTAGCATGTATTTACCTAGAATAGAAGTATCAACCGTGTATAAAGATCTGAGTCTGTAAGCAATACAGATATTCATTTCAATACAATATCAAATTATTTCACTATCTCTATTTATATTTTCGTATCGTAGAGCTGTCTAAGAATAATAATAATAATAATAATAATAATATTAATATTAATAATAAGAATTTGGCTGTAAATTTGTGTATAATAGGAATGTAAATCTAAGAATGTATTCTGTTGTTATTATTATTATTAATTTTTAAAATGGGAAAATAAGGAATACAAAGAAAAGCTCCTAGGGGCAGAGTTCAACAAATGCTAAGTCAACACCGAAGATGCAGCTGGGCGGATAGAGCGGATCCAAATGTGTCTATCCTAAGATTGTGACCACAAGAGGTGACTGCATCCGTCAGAATATTAGCCTCACAAAACACATGCAAAAAGTTGATGGCTTCAAACGTTGGACTAAGATAATGAATGTTGTTCACAATCGTCCTTAGTCTCCATGAAACATCCTGTAACACCCTGAATTTTCAACATCAGGATAACCTGCCTAATTAACAAAATATACAATCCAATACGTGAAGCTCGTAATTCACAAAATATACAAAAACTTCTTTACTTCACTCTGAGTGCTTACACAACCAATCCAAACTCACAATGTTAATACAGACTCATACTTTAGAGTCATATATTACTTCACAACATTACATAAGGCCATCTCCAACTATAAAGGGGCTGAACTTAATTTCCACCCTCCAAAATACAACTATTTATGTATTGATCAGACTCAAACTTTTTTTCCTTTCAACCCTTCAGACTCAAAATTTGAGCCTGCAACTTTTTTAAATTGAACAGGCTTGGGTTGCCTTTCAAAGTTGCTTTAAAAAAAAAGCAGAGATGAGCCTTTAATGAATTTTTTTAATTCCCAAAATACCATAATTCATTTTAAAAAATGACATCACGTCCACTTCCACATACAACTCCACCACCTCCACCACCACATTCACCACCGCCATTGCCACTGCCACCGCCACCACCACATCCTCCTCCTCCTCATCCTCTGCTACCACCACTACAACCACTACCTCCTCCACCACCTCCACCATGCTGCCATCGCCACCACCACCTCCAGCTCCACAACCGCCATCCCTACCACCACAACTACCACAACCACTAGCTCTACCTTCAACACCACCATCACCTTCACCTCTATCTATTTCACCCCCACCCCACGACCACCACATGATTAGCACATAACACTCTCAACATCATGTATATTTTTTTAGTTATTATTCACAGTTACAACAATTTTATATTAAAATTTAACAAACAGTTTTGACACTGCTTTTTGTACTAACAGCACTTTAAAAATATTATTTACCAAACATGGAGTTACTTTACTTTACAGCTAATTATTTTCAAAGTATAGCAGAAACAACTTTTTAAAAAAATTATAGCAATCCCAAACTGGGCCTTATAGTGGTCTTCCAATTCCAATTCCAGCAAATGAGAAAAAAAGAAAAAAGCTTATCATTTTTACTGGAAAATATTATATCCAGCAAAAACCAAAGATGAAAAATATAATGCAATAAAACGAAGCCAAAAATATTAAAGAAAAACATCATCACCAACAACATGTTCCAGAGCAATAGGCAAAGGAGCAATTGGGGCCCCCACCTTAATCTGGACAACAAACCCACTCTCTCTTTCGGTGGGGGGGTGAAAGCTCACCGGAGCATTTGTAGAATTCTCACATTTTGTCCCACATCGACAAATTACGCTTATGTGGTGGTCTTTATATTATCAGTACCACAATATTAAATATCGGCGTTGATAATATCGTTTTTTTGAGTGTGAGATATTTTCGTACATATCCACTTAATTATCGTCAATATATCGATATTTTTGTCGATATTATCGCGATAATGTCATGGACGATAATTTCAACATTTTTCATGCTTTATTTGGGCAATATATCGCGATATTATCGATAATATCGCTAATATTGCAATATGAAACCGAAAAATACAAGAAAAATGTTGAAAAGTCTCCATCTTGCGCACAGAGGGATTCGAACCCCTCCCTTTCTCATAAAAGCTAGCGCCTTATGATAAATTTAAGCATATATTTAATGTTATTTATTATTTTATAATGGAGTAGTATTTTGTTGTTGTTATATATTATGGAGTTTTATTATTATTCACTTCGAGTTTTAATATTGTTCATTATATGTGATACTAAGTTTGAATTTTAATAGGAATTCTTTCTATGTGGTACTAAGTTACTCATACATTTTATCTTTGTTTTTTTGGTTAAGCTCATATATTTTATCATATGTATCAAGTGTAATATATTGAAGTAAATTATTATATCTAAAAAATTATGGTGTGTTTAATTTTCTTTCACTAATTATTACATATTTTCTAAAGTCACAATGTTTGTCAGCTCGCTGCATAATCAACTTAAATCACTCAAACCCACCATGCCATGCATTTCCTTCCAATTTTTTGTGATAAAATAATAGACAATTGACTAAGTAAACATCCTCTAAAGTTTCAATAAAAATTTCCAAGTTTTTCTCATAATTTCCGTTATTTTTATTCAATTTTTATCAATATTTCCTCGATATTTCCATCGATATATCCGTGTTTTTGGACCACCGATATTTCCGAAACTCGTGATATTTTAGACCTTGATCAGTACCAAGAGACTCAATTGCCGAGCTAAGTCACGGTGGCTTGTGACCCAACGTGGGGGCGTAAGGATGGCACCGGAAGGGTAGAGTGAAAGGTCGTCGCATGACTGTTGTCATATGCGAGCGCAAATTTGGCCCGGGAAGCTTTCGGGTTTGGGTGAGATTGTGTGTGGGTCTTTCAACCCTTGTAACAGCAGAATGAGGAGAGTGGGAGGGGTGGCTTTGCAAAGTTTGCAAGGCCGCTTTGCCTGTAATTAGGTAGGTCTTCAGCTCGCTGACAATGAGTGTGAAGATCACGTCTTTGTTGTTGCAGAGAACGCTGGCTTATTAGAGCAGTAGATGGCGCTTCGGTTAATACTCTTAACTACTGATTACGTAGATGTGAACCTAGCATTAAGAGAACCAATGGAAGTTATTGGGCACAGGCTATAGCACGCCTTGCGAGTACCAAATAATCATTTGGAGGCTCCTTTCTTTTAAAGGATATCATACTGAAAAGCTCAAGTGCATCGTGGTAATCTAATTTCTTCACCTCATATATTAACTCAATTCCATGACGTGTTAGCAATCCTCTGTCTATTGTCGTTACAATAACTTTATTGCCCTCACCAAACCAATCGACGTCTCCTGCTAAATTGTTTAACTGGTCCAACTGATTCACATCATCAAGAGTTAAAGAGAATCCTTTTATGTCTCAGTCGTTGCTTGATAACATTTATTCCTTGATCAAGAGTAATCAAGTTGAAGTTTTTGTCTCCTAGGACCTGACAAAGAAGATTCTTTTGTAGTTGTTTGGGCATAAAATACACGTGCCAGCCCAATTGATTATTGGCCCATGTAAAAAACAGGAGTTTGAGCTTTGTTTGTTAAAATAAGAGATCAGCCCAGATGGTTTTTAAGGCCCAAGACCGTTGTAAAACAATTTCCAAGGATTAAATTCACAGATTAAATGCCCGTTTGACATTGCTTATTTGGGGTGATAAGTAATTTTTAAAAAAAATTGAGAAGCCCAACCCGTTTGGTAAACTGTGAGAAAATCACTTATTGTTAAAAATTGCTGTGAGAGAAAGCTATAAGGGAAAGCAGCTAATGAGGTGCTTTCATTTTCTGATTATACAGGAATCAGTTTCGAAGAGGTGCTGGGTTTAATGATTATGCGGCAATCATTTTCTAATTATGCGTAAAATAAATACCAACAACACTTGTAATGAAAATTTAACCAAACGCCAAACTGCTTTCTCTTACAGCTGATTTCTCTCACAGAAAATCTGACAGCGATTATTTTCACAGCACATCAATGCCAAACTGGCTCTAAATATTAATTGCCATTAATGGTGATTTAATATGAACAAATCAGTTTTTTAATTGGTTTAAAGAATAGGCCCAGCTTCAAATCTCTCCAAAAGCTCAAAAATTTGATAGTCATCGTCGATCTCAATTCTAGAGTTGAAGTCAGTAGATTTTTTAGGAAGATCTTTTCTCTCAAAAAGCCCACGTGACTCTGAAACTCAAAGTTTTCAACTGTGCAGAGGAAGTGATGGGGAGTTAGTAAAAGGGGATAATCAGAAGAACACCCTCCATAACCATTTAAATGCCATAAAAGGAAGACCATGTTTCCTTTCTATGCTCGTGTGGGCTCTACATCAGAGCAGGTTGTGCTTACAAGAAATAAACATAGAGACAGGAAAGTTGTTCATCAGAAATGCAAATGGACCATCATAGAAACTGACTATTGAAGGGTTGTTTGTTGGTTGGTTTTTTGTCAAACTAATAACTTCCCCCTTATCTTGCGATGAAAAAGAAAAAAAATCCTTTCAAAGATCTACTGTAACAACCCAATCCTTAATTATTATTTTATTCAAGGAAATGACTAGAATACCCTTGGAATATTTTATATGGTTTAAAAGTTGACTTTTTGACCTGGAATTTGGGAATTTCAATTGTATCATTGCGTAGAGCACATCGATACGAGTTCGTAGACATACAGCACGCACGATTCCAAGTTGTAACGAAGGAGGAAATGTCTAGAAACTAAAAGGATGTAATGGGAATTTTAAAATTTGTTACTGTAGCAACAGTGCCGCTACAGTACTCGGGTTCGGGAGCAGCACCTCCCCTTCCCCCCTGTTACTATTCATCAGCTTGGTTTTTGGGCCACCACTATCGCATCTGGCCACCGTTTGGGGTGGCACCGGTCCCAAACGAACTAGCCCGACACCCTCCTCCTATCCCACCCCTCCTCCACCAGTTGCCGGAAAATGGCCAAAACGGCCCGGTTTCTATCAAAACTTCCCATCGTTCGTTCTCTCGCCTCCGGCTGCCAAATTGGATGAATAAGGTATGTATTTTTAGCTATTTTCCGTGCTCTAGCTGATGGTTCGGTAGGATCTGAGAAATTTCTAGGTTTGACAGGTTGATTTTCGAGTTTGGGTTCAGCCAATTTTGGGATCGCTATTCCGGCCACTTCCGGCCTATTTTTGGGGTAGGTCCAAGAACAAAAGTGATTCCAAATAGGGTGTTATCCCTAGGGTAGGAGTCTGGTCCGACAGTTTAGAGTTTTTTCAGTCATCGGAATCGATCAAGCCACCTATGAGCTGCCAGCGCGTGTGGCGCCGCGTGGGCAGTAGGGTGGGGACCACATTCAGTTCTAGAATGATCCCTTGGTCCTCACGAGCATGTAGGATTTCGTGGATCTTAATTCGGATAACGTTTGAACCCCGAATGACAATCATCAATCCAGCCACTTCCAGCCTCGTCTAGACTGAAGAAATCTCAATTCCGCCCATCTAGCAAGTCTCCCCATGGCTAGAATAGATTAAAGCTCTGCTAATTTCAACATTGGCATCGATTTCCAACTGAACATCATCAGTTGAAGGTGCTGACGTTTGAATGGTGCTGACGTTTGAATCCAACATAAACACATCAAATCCTGCCCAAGTCACAGGCTCCAATCCAAGCAGAAACCGAAGGCCAAATTTTATGTTGTCCTTTCAGACGTGGCAATTCCCTTTGTTTTAAATTATATAGTAGGAAGTTTCTTTTTAAAACAGTTTGATTTATTTTTAATTTTCATTTTGGCAAGAACTACTAGTTTAGTGTGAGACATTGTGAAGTCCTCACCAATATGAGGTAATAAAAGAATTTACTTAGGAGATATTCATCACCCAAATTGACAATCATTTGTTTAAAGTTAGTCACTTGGGGTGCAAATTATCTATTTTTCATAAGTCTGTTAGAGTTTTTAACTGCTAATAGTGGCGTGCTCGCACATCAAAGAAAGTTGACTTGTTGATCACGAATGGTTCTCAAGCCAATGGGGAACTTTACTCTACAACACAGGACTAAATCAAAACAGGTGAATAGTAGTTCGACGGTTGAAAGAAGTCACTGTCGTCTTTCAAATTAGTTGATTTTAATAGCACGACGGCTGAAAGAAGTCGCGGTTGTCTTTCCAAGACGGGCTAATAAAAACTTCGCTTAAGTGAATTTGCGGCCCTTCGTGAACCCCTCAAGTTCGTATCTTTTCAATCTCTGTCCTAAAGCTCCTGACAATTGTGAAGCTCCAAACCCTAACCACCTTTCTTTTGAAATTCTTGGCCCTTCGTGCTCTTTGTCTTGTGGATCTCGTTGAACCTGTCATTCTTTACAAATAATAGACGGCAGTTCTTTTCAAAAAACCGTTGTCTTTACAGTTAATAGACAACGGTTTGTAGTAAAAGGGTCGTTTTTACATTTAATAGACGACGGTACACCGTCGTAGTTTGTCTTTCAAAAGATGTCGATCGGTACAAAGTCAATTTTCAATGCAAAAAGACGATGGTTTTCCCCCGTCATCTATTTCAATTTTTGTAGTAATGAACAAAACTCTTTAGCCTGCCTAAACTACACATAAAGCTTATGCACATCAAACACACTTCCACACATGTAAAGAAAATTGTGCTGGGGAATCATCCAGATGTGACCCATATGCATGTGGGCCCCCAAAGGGAGCCCCTTACAGGGGCATATTAGCTCAGTGCAAATCATAATTTTAAAAATTCGTTTTTTAAGAATTGGGATTAAAAGATAATTTTAAGTTCAAATTTTCTTTGATTCGAATGAGCAGGGTATTGGTGTAGTTATTGTAATAACCCAAACCTTAATTAATATTTAACTATTAGTTTATTAAGGAAAAAGGACACTTTTGCCCTTAGACTATTTTAGTAAAGGAAAAGTTGACTTTTTGACCGGAGAAGAATATGGCAATTCCACTTGGACCGTTGCGTAGAGCGCGACGATACGAGTCTGTAGACACATAGTGGACTCGAATCGGAGCTTTAACGAAGAAAATACGGTCAAAATACTTCAAGGGGCAAAATGGTAATCTTGGAAATCAGGATTTTTAAAAACTGACTTTCTCTCTCTTTCCTCACTCTTCTTCCTCGCGACCACAGCCCCCCCTATTTCAAACCGTCACCTTCTCTCCTCCATAACCACCGCCACACTCCACTTCGGCTGACGAGACCAGACCCAATCGAACCACCGCCACCTCCTCTTGCTTTCCCGACCAGTCTTTGCCCTTGGAACTACTGGTTTTCGTCGGAAAACTTGAAGGAAGTCACCGATTTTGACAGAAACTGCGCCGGTTTCGTTCTCCGTTGTCCGGCCACCAAATCGGACGATCAAGGCACCCGGGCACCAGTTGACCCGCAAGAGGGACCTTCCAAAGGTCCAGCAAGCTCGGACCAACAATGAGTGGACTCTTTGTTTTCATAAATGAATTTATGCTATTCAGTTACAGTATTTGATCTTGAATAAGGTTTATTCAAAGATTAGTGTTTTATAAGTTCATATATGCTTTTATATATTTTGATTTGCATGCTGCCAAGTGGAATATCCTTTACGGATATAGGGAAAAAGAATTTTAGCTAAACATCAGATAAATGGCAGCAGAGTTCCAGATTTAACAGAAATTCAGTTATTTATCAGACCTTTCAGAAACTTTATATATTATTTTCTAAGCCACCTTAGGTACTCAGATATACAGATGTTGCCTTCAGATATGACGATGTCCACGGACATCTAGGTTGCCTTCGGATTATATTGGTTGCCTTCAGTTTAGTTAGCATGCTTGACAGTTGCCTCACAAGTTCTATGGTACCCGGACTCGTGCGGAGCCAGGAGTGTGGATCAGGTTGACTACGGTCCCCTAAATCCTGCCAGTTTGCGGCTCAGATTGACTTTGTGTCGCCGAGACCTGCCCGAATTGACGGATTATCCGGAATTAACGGCATATCAGAAATTGACGGAAATAAAGGGGTACATATAGTTTTGAACAATTGTCTTTACAGTGGGGTTAATATGTTCTTATCTATTTTCTAAACTTTGTTTTTGGGTCCACTCACCTTTTTAATGTTTTGCACCCCCAGGCCGTAGACGTGCATCTGAGAGCCACCACAGGCAGTTTGATGTAGGGTTCAGGGCAGTTAGTGTACTTTTTATTCTGAAAAAAATTCCAAAAACAGGGTATAGCCGGACGGCTATATTATGTGAAAAAAATTCCAGCAACCCTATATAGCCTTTTGGTTATACGATTTCTTTAAAAAAAATTTAAAACCATGTATAGCCCCGCGGCTATACTATTTTTTGAAAAAACCCGGTATAGCCGTGCGGCTATACTAATTCATTTAAATCGCGGGTCTACTTTGGGAAAAAATTCCCAAAACAGTGTATGGCCGCGCGGCGTTGCGATTTGGGAAAAATTCTGGAAACCCAGTATAGCCGGTCGGCTATACGATTTCTCTGTTAAAAAATTGAAAAAACTTAGTATAGCCGCACGGCTATACGATTTCCGTGATTAACAGATGATATAACTATACTCATCTAAAACTCTAGACCATGAGATTGAAAATCTGTAAGCATCAAAACCCGTATCCTTCAAATCCTGAACATCTTCCTGTAGCAAATACATAACCAAATAGTATAATTAGAAGAAATCATGAATATCGGAAAGAACTTGCTGTCCTTATATATACTTCATTTCTTATAATGTGGGATTTGTTGTACCTTGTAGCGATGATATTGATCAATAGCCACATCTCCATTGCTGCGGTCCTTTATCCTCTCTGAGTATTTTATTTTATTTCCATTAAAACATGTGTCTAACAATCAAATTAAGTTTCACAAAAAAGAAAAAGTCTAAATAAGAGAAAGAAACCTGGATATTTGTGAGTGAATGTATCCCATATACTTGGTCCTCTACCACCTTCATTTGCAGCACCTTCATACTAAAATCCATACACACACAACAGACGCATAACCATCCAAACCATGCTCGAGCACATCTAGGAAAAGCCTAAATTATGTAAAGAGATCATCAGAGAGAGAGGTACCTGGTACGCCGATCCAGCTGCCCCGAATAAGAAACCTTCCGGGAAACTGCTCCGGTTTAGCAAAGCAGCGCTACATGTAGCAACAGAATGCTTTGAATTAGTAGCTCCAATACTTGTAACTGCACACCCAAGAACAAGTAGGAGGCCTAAGAGGAAGGTGCTTTGGAGTTCCATAATTAATCTGTACTTAGTTTCGTCTTCTAGCTAGGCTTTTTTATAATATGTACTTGGCATTTGTTATTTATATCATGGACAAAGCATGATATAATTTAAAAAAAGTAATTTGAAACCTGTGGCATCTGTGAATCTTATAAACTTTAATTTCCATGTCCATTTAAGTTGCACGATTTCTTTATATCTGCTGAATTTTCGGTAGAAGTCAAACCTGGAAGGAAGTTAAGTTTTTAACAAGAAGGGCAACATGGTCATTTGTGCTCGGCACCGCCAGGTGTCGATCATACACAGGGTCCGGCTCGGATTCCAATGTGGAATTTGGGTCGGGTCCTGTCAGTTATAGAAACATGAGAGGGGTTGGGCACAATAATTTTTTTTCCTTTTCCATTTGCTTAAGAAGCAAACAACCATAAATTCCGTATTTTAAGTGTATTTCATCGGTTTGAACTTTTCTTCTCTCATTTTTATTTTCGGTTATCTATTCATTAAAAAAAGCACCATTTGTATTTGTGTGTAGATTTGTATCTTACTTGTTCAAACTGAAGTGTGTCTGTTCTTCTTTTGAAAATATATGCCTTTGAAATTTCAGCTCAGAGAGAATTTGATATCCTACCTGAGGTGCATATAATGAACATGGAAGTTTGCTGCATTAGTTGGCTATCAAGGTGCCATCTTTTGGAACTTTGCTGCTGTAAGGGTTGGTAAAGTCATGGAAGTTACTGTTTTACCCTCACTTTGGTCTTGGGTGATAAGAAATTGCTCCATATTTGTGCAGTATAACCTAATTTTTGCATAATTGAATCAGTTGTTTTTCTACGGGTGGTTTTATTTTCTTTTAGTTTCCTGCGGAAAAATGAGGTATAGGCATGTATTTGTTGCAGAGTGTGGCTTATGTAGGAATATAACCAAGTTAGTGATGCTTGAATATGTTGTTTTGAGCCAATTCAATAAGGAGCTTTTTATTTGCAGCAATGTGGGCGGTTTTGGAGCGCTCCATGGATGCCGTGCATATTTGTCTGCATTTACACTGCTGTGTACCGCTCCCTTGTTATAATAATTCTGTATGAAGTGAATTTTCGTTTTTATTGTAGGGACATTTATTCCTGTCATAAGTTTTACTTGGTGTCAGTTCACATTGAAAGTTCTAGTTATCTTTTTGACCATGAGAAGCCCCTTGTAATTTTTGGTGCATAAAATTGAACATTCGACAGTTGTAGTAGCTATCCGGTCATGCAATGACAATAATAATATGCTTTCGTGAACAAAGAATATAGTTATAATTCCTGGCCTTTTTTTCCTAGTTTCTAAAGCCAAATTCTTTTTGGGTAAATGGAGTCATTGGAGATGTTAGCTCTACCAGGGCTGTTCAAACAACAACTGGTATTCAAAGAACCAAAATCCATTTGCAATCTAGACAGGAGTTCGAAAACTACACAATATGGATGATACTATCGCTGCCCATCAAACTTTTCATCTTGCAGTTTCAATTGTTCCAAATCTCATTTCGTGTCTTTTGCAGGATTATCAAAAATCCGGCAGTTGAGTTGCTGCAACTTCACATGATTTAGACATGCTGGGATTCTTGTACCTTGCCAATACCAACAATATCACTAGTATAATGAGACATAATCTTTCAACAGAAATATGTTGGACATATTTGGATGCCTGTTTACAATTAATGTCTGATTTTCAATAAACCTTGATTGGAAATTATGAAATAGATAAATCTGTTACATTTTACCCCCAACATACATCAATTCCAGTGAATGAGATAGAAGAATCATAGACAAAATATGTGTGGAATGAAAGCATTAGATAAATCCGGCTTTGTTCATCCGCAGATAAATGCTGGATGCATCAATTGAGAAGAACGGTATTGCCTTATGCAACTTAAAATGGAATCTCAGAAATTGCTAGCGCCTCAACACACCTCTTGATTACTAGACCATTGCCGGAAATTTGGTTCGTTTTGACATCTGAACCTGGGGCTCACATAAACCACTTTGGAACTTCATTGCCTGAAAATTTAATGTCGAATATAGAGCGCTAAGAAAAAGAATTTAACCCAAAACAAAAAGAAAAAAAAAACTCACACCCTGAAAACAACAACATATACCCCAGAGATGCTTGTATAGCACGCGTTGTTCAAGATGGCCAAGACTCTCTGTCTCTGCTTCTCCTTTCCTTCGAGTTGTAATCTTTTTTCCATTGCTCCCCTGTTAATGAAAGTTCTTATTGACCAAAAAAAAAAAAAAAACCCCAGAGATGCACAGCAAAATATTGCTAAATTTGAATTGAACACAAAACGCAGACATATGACTAAATATACTTTGGCTCCACTTTAGGATAAATGTGCCTCCTCTTTTGGTGATCCGCTGGTCCTGTAAACAAGGTAAGCCCTTGAGCTTCATGATCACCAATGTCGACAACGTTAGCACGATGATCATCGTCAAGTGCCATGTAATCTGATTGGCGAGGCCTCTTGCCAAGACTAGTCTTTGATGCTAAAGACAAGGAAAGCAATTCGCAGTCTTGGTGTTGATCATGATCAACAACAACAGTCTCAATGACAACCTGGTGGCCTAATAGGTGGACCCCGCAGGGAATTTTAACGGGTGTGGGCACTTCGACAAAGAAGTCAAATATAACTTGACACGTATTACCCTGCTTCGTCAGGGGTTCTTCAAACTCGTACTCGTACCTATCCAAATTCAATAATGGAATAGACCTGAGGTGCACATGACCCATAAATCCAAAAGATAACGCATTGACGAGTTTTCCATCGAGAAGAATAGAAACAGAACAACCAGTAACAACATACAGAAATAGAACCAATCTTAACGTCTCCCATTTTAAATTTGGAGGAATTTCAAAACTAACTGCACATCCAGCATCGTATTCGCATCTCTTTGTTCCAATACCTGAACTCAAATATTGTCTAACTATTGTTGCATCTTTACGACAGCTGAACCACTTTGGAACTTCACCGCCTGAAAGATTGATGCTAAATTCAGAATGCGGATGGGAAACAGAAACCTGATTCAGAAAAATATTTTCTGTGATGTCGTAGCTGCGTAGTCTAACACAATTGTTCAAATCCAGATCCATATTGTTATGCACCGGCGAGAATTCTAGAATTTTCTCCAATGATGTGCAGTTATCCAACAATACCCAAGACATTTTTGGAATTTTTTCCAATGATGTGCAGTTATCCAGCGATACGGATCCTACTTCTGGTGGAAACACTTGTTCTGGAATTTCCAGAAGACTCTTGCAATCACGCAAGTCAAGATGCTGCAAGTTGACCAATTTGCTAAACCATCTCGGAAGAATGACAAAATCGTTTCCCGATAGATTAAGATCTGTTAATGTGGACCAGCAATCAAGGGGCAGGAGGAAATCACTTTTTGATAGGTTGGGAAGCAGCGGTAATTCGGAGTTGCTGGATGAAACTTGAGGGTTCACTTTTTGATAGGTAAGGTTCTCACAATAATCAGCTCTAAAGTGAGAAAGCCCAGTAAGATATGCAATTGATGAAGGCAATTCTCTTATGCCACTTCCTGATATGTCCAAACTCCATAGTGATTCCATTTTCACCTCTATTTCTGGGAAACTCTCAAGCCTTTTGCAATCACTAAGATCAAGTGCTAAAAGAGATTTCAATCTAAGTCTTGTTGCAAACCTTGTAAGATTGAAGCATCCACGAAGTTCTAATACTTGAAGCCCAGTAAGAGATGTAATTGATGCAGGCAATTCTCTTATACCACTTCCTGATATGATCAAAGTATATAGTGATTCCATCTTCTCCTCTATTTCTGGGAAACTCTCAAGCCTTTTGCAATCACTAAGATTAAGTGCTAAAAGAGATTTCAATCTCAGTCTTGTTGCAAACCTCGTAAGCTTAACGCATCTACTAAGATTCAATACAACAAGTTTATCAAGGAGTCCAATAGAACCATCGACCTCAACCAAACGTGTGCACTCTCGTAGATTCAAGTACTCTATGTTTGGGATTCCGGATAGGTCTGGGATTTTTTCTAAGAATTGACAACCCCTCAAATCCATAGATGTCAGGTTTGGCAAATGCTGTGAGAGAAGAACACAAAAATAGGAAATAATTAATCACACGCTTCAAAAGACAAAAACTTAGAAAACAATTTTTCGTTTTTTTCCTTCTGAAATTAACAACTGTATTTCAAATTATATATAATGGATGAAAATAATTTCAAATGCATACCTTAAATCCATCCAATTGTCTGATATGACTGCGAGGGATATTGAACTCAACAAGACGTTTTCCTTGAAAATTGGGTGGCAAAGATTGTAACTGACATCTATCCCAATCAATCAATCTTAACGTGTTGGGCAAATCATTAATGTCCCCACATAGAGATGCATTATGGTTTATGAAAATTTGAAGATTCACCATATTATGGAAGCATTTTGGATTCAAGGTTATCTCTGCTGGTTTTGGAAGCTTCACAATGATGCCTTTAATATTTCTTGTTCCCTAAGATAGAAAAGCATTAAGATTAAAAAATGGAGTCATTTTACAAACCAAAATGCAAGCACATTTTGTTAAGAAAATTGAGGTAACATAAGGTATTCTTTCATGTCAAATTGAATATTATAACACATGTGATACTTACAGTAGTTCCCATTAGAACTTGTATGACATCCTCATAAAACCACAATCTACTACGCTGGCCAGGATCATAGGGGGATTCTTTGTGAACTATATCCTTGCCCAGGTTTGCTAGCAAGTCGTGCATTAAAATCTTGTTACATTCAATAGTTATCAATGCCTTATCAACAAATTCTTCAATGTATTTTTGGGGTACTATTTGTTGCACATAGTTCTTATATTCACCCTTGAAGAAACATGCAATGTCGAGAAAATATGCTTTTGCGGGATCTTCCAAGGCATCATAACTTTTTTGAAGTATTCTTTCAATATGTGTATAAGGTTCTCCTTCGTAACTATCTAATATAACTTGCCAACGTGGTATATCTATACCACAAAGATGAGAACCTAAAATTGTTAGAGCTAGTGGAAGGCCATCAGCAAAAGCTATTGCAC